AGATCTATTTTAGATCTTTGGACTTTCTTAAAGTAGTGAAATGAGAAAAGGGAGGTAATTTGAGAACTCACTATGGGACATACTGAATTATTATGATTCTGAGGGGGGTAAAGGGGGATAATAGAATCATATGAAGTATCTTGTACTGTGAGCACTGAGATTGGAGATCTAGCAAACAAGGCTCCATGGATGAGCCCAAAGTTTTGTCCACATGACAGCCTGTTATAAATATGCTGTGCCTTATTAACTTGATATATGGCAGTTTTTGTCCCCTATAAAATTAACATTTTTAACATTAAATTAACATTAATTAAAATTTTAATAATTAAAATTAATTATTAATTAATTGAAGACATAAGTCTACAATTACAGTATTGAATAGTTAGAGTTTATTGGCAGTCAGGGCCTAGAGATGATCACTACAGCCTCTGTTATCCTTTGTTTGGGCATTTGACTATTAAGTATGTGTTCACATTTTGATATGAACCTTTATAAAATGTTTTACTTACATTGGAATGTAAGTATTAGAATGTTTGTATCCCAACATTGGAATGTTTGTATTGGAATGTTTACCAGCGTCCTTACACCTGGAGATCAATCTCTCTCTCTGTCTTTCTTTCTCTCTCTCTGTGTATGAATAAATATATATATCTATCTGTATATCTTGTTTAGTTGCATAAACATGGCCCTTTTAATTTTCTTCCTGGTTTCTTAACCAAGAAGTTTAGTTCATGGCTTGTAAAGTTTAACATAAGCCATAACATTAAAGTGGCAAAGTATGAAATACTGTATAAAATGATATTTAAGCATTTTGCATTGCATTTTCTATTTCTGTCTCTGTTGTAAGTTAGATTTTCATGTTACTAGCCATGCATTCAATTGAAAGGATTTATTTTACGTGAGTGCCATGTGCCCAACCTGGTGCTGCTGAGTGCCGCTGGATACAGACACCTGTAACAAGCAATGGCTACTTTTAAAGAAGTTAGTTTGGTTAAGAAGACTTACCTAATGAGAAATAATTCAAGAGTAATGATACCATCTATGTTGATTAAGTTTCTCTAATTATGATACAGACATATAAGAAGTAATAGAATTAGGAGGAGGATAATGCAAAGTTGCAATAGGCATGATATATGCTTTCTGTATGGCTGCACCAATTTACATTCCTACCAACAGTGTATAAGCATGGCACATTTATAAGTATGGCACATTTATAAATATATATGGTGTACTGTTAAATGTATTTCTGACAGGAAAAAACTTCCATTCTTTTTCTGCATCTATTAAGAGAATCATATGGTTTTTCTTTTTCATTTTGTTAATATGGCAGATAATATTAATTTTTGAATGTCAAACCAATCCAGCATTCCTCTGATAAAACCCACTTGATCATAATGTATTATGCTTTTAACATTTTGATGACTTCAATTTGCTAAAATTTTGTTTGGCATTTTCTATTTTTGCATTTTTGTTCACAAGGGATATTGGTCTTTTGTTTTCTTTTTCTTTCTTTCTTTCTTTTTCTTTTTGGTAATGTCATTGTCTGGTTTTGGCATTAGGGGTATCCTGGCCCCATAGAACAAATCAGAAAATATTGCTTCCTCTTCTATTTTCTAGAAGAGTTCGTATAGATTTGGTATTATTTCTTTCTTAATGTTTGGTAGAATTTACCTATGAAGCCATAAAGGCCTGGATTTTCTTTGTGGGAAGGTTTTAAACTATTTCAATTAATTTAATTGATACAGGGCTCTTCACGTTATCTATTTCTTCTTGAGTGAGTTTCATAGTTTGTGTCTTTCTAGAAAGTTGCCCATCTCATCTAAGTTTTCAAATTTATTGCTATAAAAGTTTTATAATATTTCCTAATTATTTAATAGAAAAAAATGTTCTTAAAATTTAAATCTGATCATGCCTTAGCCCTCCTCAATCTTTTCCAGTACTCCTTAGATTCAAATTCAGATTTCCTATCATGGCCCACAAGGTACTACATGATTGCATTTCACCTCCTCGCCAACTTTATCTCATACAAGATCCTGTATCTCTCACTGTACTTTAGCCACACTGATATCTGAGATGTCGAAGGATTGTGGACTCTTTTCTGTTTCCTCAAGAGCCAAGCTCTTTATTTCTTGAGAGCCTTTGCATTTGTTCTTCTTCTTTCCTAGTATTTATCCCCTTCCCTCAAAGTTTTACGAGGTTGATTTCTTATCTCCTTTGGGTCTCAGCTAAATGCGACCTCCTCAGACCTTTTCTTCAGGCCACCCTAATCTCTAAACTTGTCTATCTCTTGATCCTTTATAGGTGTTATCTCAATTAATTATGTGTGTATATTCTGTCACTAGTATATAAATTGTAAAAAGGCTCTCATCTGTCTCATGCCTAACACAGTGACCTTCATATAGTAAAGTGCTCAATAAATAATTGATGGCTAAGAGACTATGTAAAAGAAGCCATACTACTAAATAGAATGAACATGAAGTAATTCCCATCATCATTTACTTGATGATGATAAAATAGTGGATCAGAAAGCTTAAGGGAAAGAACTCAGACTTAAATGCAGAGATGGGAAAAAAAATTGTTTTATAGCAAATGGGAATAAAAATTGTTTTTATTGTCTTTTATCTAGTTTTCATTGGTCTGTCATTGTAACTCATGCATCTCAATCATGTAGTTATTATCTTCAGTGTCTTCTTAATGTTAAGCCAGTTTTTAATTGTACTAATAACTGTAGTAATAATAGCATTTATTCAGCACCTACCATGTGCCAAATATTGTGTAAGTGGCTGTCCGTTCATTATCCCTAATGCCAGCTAATTATCCCTACTTATCCCTAATGCTAGCTACTTTACAGAGCTGTCTTAAGATTGACTAAAACAAGGAACACAAAAGATCCTACACTAGATTATTGATTTTTCAAAATTAAATATAATTATTTTATTTTGTATATTCTTTCAGTCATTGAATATTTATTGAATACTTAGCATCTATGTGACCTTGGAGAAACTATTTAACCTCTCTGTACCTGAGTTTCCTCATCCATAAAATAGAAGTAATAATAGTAGTACTACCTTATATAAGGGTTAAATGAATTATTTATGTAAAACACTTAAACATTGCCTGGCATGTAAGTTATAGTACCTAAAAATGCTACCTATAATTATTTTCTTCCAGTGAAGAAGTCTATAGATTTCTTAATTGAGCTACATAAAACATTTAAATGTGCAACATAACACATTCCTACACAGTAATGTAAAAAATAGCAAATCTTTCTAAAGTAATCTATTAATGAGATGGAATTTCAGTCAGAATCCCAAAGAGATTTTTAAGAATTGAAACTACTGAAAATAATCCTAAAGTTTATGAGACCAACCTAGAAAATTGAGAAAAAGGAAAATAAAGAGAAGGGATTTGCCCTACCAGTTACTAAAACATTAAAAAAACAGGTAGTAATTAAGATGGTATGATACTGGAAGAGGAGAAAAGGAAAAATAAACAGAATTATTTGGAATCAGAATTAGCAAGCTAATGTAAAAATTTAGTATTGGATCAGAAGACATTTTAAATCAGTGCAAAAAGAATGGATTATATAATAAATGTTCTTGGGATACTTGGCTAGTCATTTGGAAAGAAGTTGGATTGCTGTTTAAAATTTAAAAGACATGAACTGATGCCATCCATAGCCACCATAGATACCATAGTGTTATACCCCCTGTGCTGGCATGCCCCTCCTCCTTTCTTTCCTGCTTAGCTGCACAGTGACCAGTAAGCTGACCAAAAAGCATATTACTGCATTTGAGGAAGTTTTCACCCTATTTGACAAAGATGACAATAGCACCATCGCAAAAAGGAATTTAGAACTTGGGTCACTAGGTCAGAACATAACAGAAGCAAAATAACAATATGGATGATAAGGCTTTATATCTTACCATTTATGGCTAGACATTGTTGTACAAGTTTGAATAGCTAATATTTATATAGTACTTACTGTGTTTCAGGCAGTGTTGAGGTGCTTTACTTATATCAATTCACTTAGTCTTCACATGAGATAGTACCATAATTATCCCCATTTTATGGATGAGGAAACCCAGACATAGAGAAGTTAAATAATTTGCCAAAGCTCACACAGTTGCTAAAGTGGCAAAGCCTGATTCCAACCCAGGCAGTCTGGCCTCAGAGTGTGTGCTCTTAACTACTTTCCTACACTGCTTACCTGGGAAACTGAAGGATATGTACAATGGAGAAAAATTAGTGAAATGAGACAACAATGGCAGTGGTTATTTACATCAGTACCCCAGACCCATGTCATGTAATTGCAAAAAGGAGAAAACCTAACAGCATGAAGAAATAGATAAATTGAATGGAGAAATTGATATTGGTAGAAATGGACTAGTAACTCTGGAGACTTTGTACAGATGGTGATAGCAAGATGAAAACTCCATTTCACTGTATTTCTACCCTATAGATGTATTTGATTGAATCTTTTTTAAAAGATAATTTATTCTTTGTTTCTGTGAAGCAAACACATGTCAAAAATACCTTCTGTATACATACAAGATAAATCTGCTTGTATTTTTTGGTGGTCTTCTCCCCCAAAAGATCAAACTGTACATCTGTTTACAATATAAGTACTTGTGATAAATGACAAGAAAATAGTATACTCCTTAAAGTTCTCTTTGTGTGTGATTCTTACACTGTTTTGGCTGGCCTGTTTCTAGTTTTCATACATTGTGATAACTAAGCATGATCAAATCTTGAGGTGCCTTCTAGGCAGTGTTAATGATTTTAGGCTTTATCTGAATAACAATGGGAAGTCACTGAATAGTATTTAAATAGGATACTTCAGTGACTTAAATTGAAGTTTGAAGATGTCTCTCTCTGGGTACTCTGAAGAATTCAGAGGAGAGTATGAGGAGAAATAGACCCTTCTTTTCCAATCTGCACATCATCTTATGTGGGTTTATTGCTTTGATTAATCTAAGGTCTGTGTTTCTTTTTTTTAGGTAACCCTGGTTTTCCCACCTTTTATGTGCCATTTGCAAAGGCTTTATATTCTTTGACAAACAGACGCTTTCCAATTTGGATTATCAGTCATGCTGGGCATACCATGGCCCCCAAAGACAAGAATGTTCTTACAACATCAGAGGGTACGTCCTTGTTAACATCTGCTTTCCTTTACAGTGAATGGATGTTCATGTTTCTAGAAAGCCTGCTAAGGTTAAGGATTACATCAGTGGAAACCTCTGCTTGTGGCATTAGGTACATGGTACCATATTTTAGTAATTTTAAGATTTTTAGAAACATTTTAACTCTTCTGCAGGTGATTTTCTATAGAATTTGGGTAGATCAAACAATCTATGACTTACCTTCTTTTTTTACCAATTAATGATCAACTTTTTGTTTTTTGATCACATACTGTTTTTCCAGGGTTGTAGTAGGAGGAATCGTGGAGAAAAAGTGTTATAAGACATGCTCTTTACTCTAAAGAAGCTTTCTTTCTCATGTTTAGGGAATGATTAAGTGACAAACTCTGGTCTGCTGATCGTGTAGATACCTAAGGAGTCAACAAAGGAGAAAACACAGTGTAGGTTAGAAAAGACTGTATAGAGTAGGGTTTCTTAGTTTGGGCCACTCTAGCAGAATACCATAGACTAAGTAGCTTATAAACAATAGAAATGCCTTTCTCACAGTTTCTTGAGACTGGGAAATCCAAGATCAAGGCACTGGCAAATTTGGTGTTTGATGGGGACCTAATTCATAGATGGCATTCTTCTTTCTGTGCCCTCTCATGGTGGAGAGAGGAAGTAAACTCTCTTGGGACTCTCATAAGGTCATTAGTCCCATTCATGAGGTTCCACCCTCATGACCCCATCCAATTCTAATTACCTCCCAAAGATCATGCCTCTTAATACCATCACATTTGGAGGTGGGATTTCAACATAAGAATTTTAGGGAGGTATAGGCATTTAGACCATAACAGGGAGATTTGACAGTTGAGTAGGATTTGGATTTGTAGGGTGGAGGAGAGTACAGAGGGATAACAGGCAGAAGGAGTAGTATAGAAGGGAGTGAGATTTAGTGGGTATGTTACTGCTATGCAGGGCCAGTTTGAGAGGACTTTGAAAGCTGGGAAGAGAGCCAGGACTCCATGTGGTACACTGCTGGACAGCTTTTAAATGGAGGATGTAATACATATTTTAACTTACAGGAATTCTAGCATGTTCACACTTCTAAAATATAAAAAATGAGAGCTAAAAAGAAAAACATAACTTAAATTCTCTACATTCTTCAACATTCTCTAAATTCTCTACATATCTTAAATACTCTACATTGAATAGAATAGGCATTCTATTCAAGGACATTTTGTCCTAAGAGATCTCCCTTAGTTAATCTGAGGTGAGAGAGAGGTGGCTGTGGCTTTATTGCCTAGTTTGGTTCTGGTTCTTGAATGTTTCCCCTGTGGTATAAGTATCTTTTTATACTTATCGAGCTTCTAAGTTTCAAAGATATAGTATTAGAAAGTTACATTTGTACGCTTTGTTATTATATATTCATGATTCTTTTAGACATTAATGTACAAGTTTGAATATACAAAAAAAAGCCTGTACTCTATGAATGATCTAAGTAAATGATATTTAAAGCTAGTTTGGGTTATGTTTTTTTTAACTGTATATTCTGATTTCAGCCTCTGGCCATGATATCAGATATAATTTTTTTGTTTCTATTTTAAAATTTGAATATAGTGGCAATAAATATGATTTCACATGTGAACTCTTCTGAACACCCTCTAAAGATTAGTTAATTAATCTATTATTAATTTGGGTAAATGTTCCATGTCAGATAAACAGTATCAATTTATCTAGTTTTGTCTACTTTTTAACCTTATATTTTAGAGCTGACCTTTTAGCACCAGGGAGTAATGCACAATTTATTTATTTATTTTCAAAATGGATTAGCTTTCTTTATTGTATTTTTATATTAAAAAGTTATATGTGCTTATTATTTTAAAAATTAAGACCATATGGAAAACTGTGAATAAGAAAGTAAAAAATTAATTGTTCTATAATTTAAAGGTTGAAAAGGAATGCTAAAAGTTCATAATGTTTTGTTTTAATTATGCTTAAACATTTTCAACCCCAAGTCAAACAAACATTAAGACCTTGGCACTGAGAGATGAGATTTTCCAATGCCTTTAACACTTTGTGCAGTAGCTCAGGAGTTTTCTCCAGGCTGAAGTAAGCATCTGGGAACTATAGCATGAAGAAGTATATTTTTATGCTTTTTTTTCCCCCCATGACAGTGTCATAATGAAGTGTGTATCTTAAACCATAGTAAAACAGTTACAATTTAAATATTTAGAGTTTTTCCTCCCAACATTTATTTTCTTCTTATTCCTATTCAAAAATTTAATTGGCATATGTTATACACCAAGAAAATATTTAGTATAGAATGATTTTAAAAACAAATAGTGGACTTCCAGTTTTAGCTCTGACATGTAAAACTTGGAATTCATTACTTCTGTCCGCACAGCATGAAAAAGCTGAACAAACTGAAAATCATGATTTTTCTTAGACCTATCAGAGAATTGAGGTCACAGAACAAACTGCCACCTAAGATCTGGAGAGAAAGGGGAATACAGTGAAGATCAGTTTACCTGAAGCAGAAGATACTAGAGCTATAGCCGGTAGGATACATAAATGGTCATTTTGATGAACTGCTGGAGGTAAAGTGCAGACTATTTTGAGAAACTTCTGCAAGCTTTGTCTTGGGGACTCCCCCATTTTCATCGGTATTACCTCTAGGAACCCCATCAGGTTCTTTTGTGAAAAATCCCCTTGAGTTTTTGTGAGAGGTAGAAAAGAAGTAACTATTTTGCAGTATGCCCAAAGCATTCTTAATAACAAAGGCCTACTTTTCAAGGAAAAAAGACTGGCAGAGCCTTATCTAACCTGGGGGAAGGGCAGTTAGCTAACTACAACTTTCTTCTAGCCTTCCTGTCTCATGTACTTGAGGGAAAAAAAGGCTGACAAACACTTTAGAACAGCAGTCCCCAACCTTTTTGGCACCAGGGACTGGTTCCATGTAAGACAATTTTTCCATGGGACAGGCGTGGGGTGGAGTGGAGGAAGGGATGCGAGTAGTGGAGAGTGGCTATAAATACAGATGAAGCTTAGCTAGCTCACCTGCTGCTCACTTCCCGCTGTGTGGCCTGGTTCCTAACAGACCATAGATCAGTGCTGGTCTGCGGCCTAGGGGTGGGGACCATAGCTTTAGGAGATCACAGCACAGGGATTCAGGCCCACTAAAAGACTGAGATTTAATCAAAAGGTTATAAGAAGCTTTCCTCCCCCATAATTTACCACCATATCAACAGGTATCCAGTATAGTAAAAGTGGATCACAACTATAAGAGCTGCAAGACACAAACTCTGCTTAAATAGTTTGTAGGGAAAATCAAAGATAACAGGAGAGGAAAAAACAAAGACATTAAAGAAAACTGAAGCATCTAGCACCTATAGGTACAGCAAACATTAAACACAGCCCAGTGTCTAGCCACATTAACATAAAGACATGAAAAAACAGTCTGTAGAGACAAAGGAAGCATTAGAGCCAGATTCAGATATATGCTTATTACTGATTTTGGAATTATTAGATAGCAATTTAAAATAACTGTAATTAATATGTTGAGGACTCTAATGGAAAAAGTAGTATGCAAGAACAGATGGATAATGCAAGCAGAGAGTTGGAAACTCTTAAAAAAACAACCAAAAGGAAATACTAGAAAACACAGAAATGAAAAATGCCTTCAATAGGTTCACCAGTAGTCTGGACACAACTGAGGAAAGAATCATTGAGTTTAAAAATAGGTCAATAGACATTTTCCAAACTGAAATGCAAAGAGGAAAAAGAATAATAGTAAAAAAGAGCAGAATATCCAAGAACTGGGACAATTTAAAAAGGTGTAACATGTATAATTACAATACAAAACAGAGAAGAAAGAGAAAATGGAGCAGAAATAGTTGAAGTACTTAATGCCAGACACAAAACACAGCCCCTGGAAGCTCAGAGAACACTAAGTAGGGTAAGAAAGTAGGGTAAGAAAGTCTATACCTAGTTTTGTCACATTTACATTGCAGAAAACCAAAGACAAAGAGAAAATCTTGAAAGAGGGCAGGAAAAAAACCCACCTTATCTAGAGAAAAACAAAGATGAGAATTACAGGGAACTTTTTGTCAGAAATCATTTAAGCAAGAAGAGAATGGAGTGAAATTTTTAAGTGTCGAAAGAAAAATACCACCAACCTAAATTTCTATATCTAGTGAAATTATCCTTTGAAAGTAAAGTCAAAATAAAGACTTTTTCAGACAAACAAATGTTGAAGCAATTTGTTGCTGTAGACCTGCCATACAAGAAATATTAAAAGAAGTTCTATATGGAAATAGAAAATAATAGAAGTCAGAAACTCAATTCTATATAAAGAAAGGAAAAGCAATAAATAAAGGTTAAAAAAATTCAGTTTTCTTATTCTAAATTAATCTAATAGCTGTTTGTTCAAATTAATAAAAGTAACAATGTACTGGATGATTATAACAGAGGGTGGGGTGTGTGCCACCTGTAGCCTGGGTCTGTCCTGCCTGCCTCCTGCCTCCCCTCCACACAGGAATCGGGCACTGATCCGTGTGGAAATCAGGCAGCCCTGGGGGGTTGTACTCATGAGGGCTTAAGATGCAGCTACCTCAGTGCACAGGGCCCTTCTGTCTTCCAGGGGGCTGTTTTGGGCCCATAGGACCCAGGGCCTGGCGTGGGGTAAGTGGAGACTGCCCCAGCCTGGGCGGGTGTGGGTTCTGGATCAGCTGCTCATACCTCAGATTTTGTTTGCAATAAAATAAATATTCTATAGCCAAAAAAAAAAAAAAAGTGATAAGTGAAATGTGGATAAGTGAAATGAATGTCAGCAATGTTACAAGAGGTGGAAGAGGGGAATTGTGAATATTCAGTATAATGTACCTGGACTAAAGGTGAAGTGATGTAACATTGCTTAAAATGGATCTAAATTAAGTATATATGGAAAATTTTAGGGAAAATACTAAAAAAAAATTTTAAGAACTATAATTAATAATAATGTGATAAGAGAGAAAATGGGATCA